TTTGAATTTGAAAAGTATAATAACAAAAATGAGTAAATTACCATAGGAACTTAACAGTAGATTTTAGCTAGCAAAAGACTAAATCAGAAAACTTGAAGATCCATCCATGTAGGTTATATAATCTGTAGAACAGATAGAATGAAGAATGAACAAAAATGAGATGAATACAGCCTCAGAAACATGTGGGATACAATTAAAAACTAACATATGCATATGAAACCTATTCAGACATAATAGATATGTATCAAAAATCATGAAAAAAAATTTAAATTTTACACTTTAAAATATTAATGGAATGCAAAAAAAAACAAAAAAAAGGAAAATAGAAGAAAAAATACATGAGACAGAAAAAAATATGTAAATAGTAGACATAAATACTACTATATCAATAACATTAAACATGAATGGATTAATCAATTCAAACAAAAGACAGAGTATGAATATGGAAATAACAAGGCCCAAATATATGTTATCATAGAAGACACACTTTAAATTCAAAGATACAAACTTGATGAAAGCTAAAGAATGAAAAAATGTATAGTTCTCTTCATTTTTTGAGGAGTAGCCACACTGTTTCCGCGATGTCTGTACCACGTTTCATTCCCACCAGCATCAGATAAAGGTTCTAATTTTCTCACATCTTCACCAACAATTATTTTCTGTTTTTTAATCTTAGGCATCCTAGTGGGCATGAAATAGTATCTCATCGTAGTTTTTTATTTTGATTTTCATATCTCGGATGGCTAATGATGCTGAGCATCTGAGCATCTTTTTATGTTTGGTGGCTGTTTGAATGTCTTTGGTGAAATGTCTGCTGAAGTGTTGTGCCCATTTTATGATTAGATTACTTGTCTTTTTTGTAAAGTTGGGCACGTTTTCTGTATAATTTGATTGTTAGACTCTTGTTGGATATATAAGAGAGCTTCAAAAGGTTTGTGGAAAAATGGAATTAAAAGATAATGGGTCCCCCCCCATCCAAAAAAAAAAAAAAAAAGCAAAAGAGGAAAGAGAGAAACACTGTAAACTGATGATATATGGAGGGGATAATAATCAATGTAATGAAACAAACTATATGAATGGTTGAATGTGAAGCTGATGATGTGCCCTGTAAACTTTCACTCAAT